TATTATTCAGTCCTGTTCCGCCATCTATTTTCACACGCCCTTCCCGTATGTTATTCGCTTTTTGCTTTCTTCTGTATATCCTGTGTGTATCAGATTCATTTGTCTCTTTCTGATCCGAAGCAAAAATTCTTTTTTCGTTCTCATTTCCGTTTAAACATAATGCTGCCCCGAATGAACTAAATATATTTTATGATAACTTCGATATGACAATTGATATGTGAAGACGCGATAATTAAAAAAAAATACCACAAAATAGTCGCAGTATTATAAGCAAAATGCTTTGATAAAAGCTTATGAAAGCCGTAATTATTAAGACTGGAGAATATCTGTGTATAGGAAAGTACAATATATTATCTAAGAACAAATTAGGAGCTAATGAATAGATTAAAAGAGAAGGAATTAAAATAAATTTAAAGAAATTAATTAATTTCTTTGAAATATTTTTTGGTTAAAAAGTAGATAAAGAAATTAATTTTCCGATAAGTCTTAAAGGTAAATGGAAAACCAATTTTCAAAATCTTACGTTGATTGTCGGAAATATTTCTACAGAAACTTGGAAATAAATTCGAGATGTGTTGTAAGACATTGTCCGTATGATCATTGGTGCTGAATAGAATGTAGTTATTCTAGATTATTGGAAAAACAAAAAAAGCAACATTTTCTCGTTTGAAAGTGAGTCCTACATATTAAATTCTGATAGAGTTCACTTCTTGTTGATTCTTGTACCTTAAGCAGACTCAATTTATTTAAAGCATAAATATAATGCTTTTATTATTAATGTTTTTAATTCCAGATCAATGACAATTTTATTTCTCATTGGTTACTATTGCGTCACACTCAGATTGACTGTCAAAATATGATCAACAAATATAGGGAATGCGACAAAAAAAAAAAAAAATAGCCACGATGCTTAAGGTTTAAAATGGATTTTTATAAATTAAACATCTCTCTTGAAGCTTTTATTTTAGTTTCAATTTCAAGCTAATAGATTAAATTTAATATTTCTAATAAGCAAAATATTTTGTTGTATTTCAAAAACTAATTTAAATTGATTGGAGGCAGGTTTTTTCCCTAAAATGTCTGATTAGCACCTGTTTTTTTTTCTTTGTCGTCTTTCATCGCGATGTAATTCTCTTCAGTAAAATTTTTTTCAAAAATAAAATACTTTTCTGAAACTTTATTTTGAGCAATATTAGTTGATTTAATCGGATCTGAAACAATTATCAATTATTTTAATTTTAAAATATCGAAATGCATTTTTTAACCGGTCAGTATCTCTTTTTACGTGTTGACACCCTGATGACAAAACTGTTTTATGGAGATGTTATCTGTAAAAAATAATTGAAGATAATGACGCGAGCGCCTTTTTTATATAATTTTTAAATATTCAGTAATCATAAACATTTAGGGAAATATCATGTAATATAAGATTTTATAGAATTTTAGATATGTTGACCTTAAATTTGTTATAGTTATCGCTCTTATTTTCTGAATGTCATGTATGATTGGCCGTACTTACAAAAATCGACAGGTTTATACAAAAAAATCAATTCTTTTAAAAATCTTGTTGTTTGCTGATTTATATTAAGGTTTTTATTTATGATTAGTTAATATAGTTTTCACTTAATATCTAAATGAATACAGAATTTTAAGATTTAAAACAATAACTTTTTCTAATTACAACTTGAAAAGATGAAAACAATTCTTGTAAAAATTGATCATTCATTGTAATTTTTTCTTAAGAAAACAGCATCCGTAATATATTTTATTTATAAAAGCAATTAAAAGTTTTTCTAATAAAATAATATAGTTTTATTGCATTTTTATTTTACGATTCAGAGAAGATTTTCGGTAAATGGTGTTTCCGTTAAACAAATTTATGATTTAAAATATTATTCGAAGAATCGTGAAATTGCATAAAGTTAAGTGGGGGTAACATGGAAAAAAATTTAAAAAATACAAAGATTTTCTCAAAATAATTAAATTTAAAATAATTTAATTTGTGAATAAGTCCTGAGAATTTAATTAAAATCAGACAATTATTTGATTTTTGCAAAACAATGTATTTTTAACGTCAGAAAGACGCTAAAATCCTTATACTAATGTTTGACCCAATTTGCTGACGCAAGAAAAAAAATAACCAAAATTTCGAACGTACTAGACAGGATTTAAAAAATTAATGAAATAATAAGAAAATCCTTTGATCATTCCATTTAATAAGAACAAACATTTTCGCGATAAAACTTTCTTTTTATTACGTTTTGCGGTCTTTTTTCATCATGCTATGCTCTTAGAAACCTGTATATGAGAGAGAGAGTCGTTGGTGCCTGGATTTTATTCCGTGTAGATCTTGTTTTTTTTTTCCTTACTAACTTGTGGTTCACTATAATACATCTTACCACAATTTCGACTCTTCGAAAATGCTCGTCTATTCAGAATAGAAAAGGATTTGTAGAAGAAACTGCATTTCTCAACAATAAACTTAAGGCCAGGACCATATGCATAATATCACTGATCATCACAGAACAATAATAGCACAATGGGGTATACGACGCAATGAGAGAGAGACGCAATGCGTTGATTAGAAATCCATACACCAACTTCCGATTATTTCTCTGTTTAAAAAGGATATCTTCTCAATCCAAGGTTCTGTCATGGGTTCCACGCTGTTTCTAATCTTCATCAATGATCTTCCTGATGTCATGAAATCACAAGTAGGTATTTATGCAGATGACGTAATCATTTATTCCTGCCTCAATAGCAATTCCGTCAGAGCTGATAAAGTAAATCTGGCTGCTGCCCTTGAAAGGGCTTTTTGGTCTCACGTTTGCAATTGACTTGAAGAGGGGCGACTACATCGAATCAATCGTTGTCTCTCCTGTAAATAAAGTTGGGATACTGTGTCGTGCCTGAAGATTTTTCTCGTCAGAGTCAATCTTGCATATTTACAGATCTACCATTCGTCCGTGCATTGAATATTGTTGCCATATCAGGTCTGGTGCTCCTGCTATTCATCTCGAGGTTCTTGACAAAATCCAAAGAAGGATCTGTAATTTTATCGATCCTAACTTGGGATCTCGACTTAAGTCAATTTCTCACCAACGTGACGTGGCTTCAAATATTTTCATGGCAACTTTTCTGACGAGCTTTTTTTACCTGATGTCCCGACTGCATGAATTTACGTGTGCCACTAGATTGGCATTTAGGTCCCACCCGTTTACTATTGTATTTCTAAATATAACCACTATTTCTACTCTAACAGTTTCTTTTCTCGAACTTCCCGTGATATAAGAAAAGCAAGTGAATTCAAATTAAACTTCGTATTTTTCCTTCTTTGAACAACATCCAATCTACAATCTAAAGCTCTTTAACTCATGCGTCAATGGCTATCTATTCACCATATCCTCGTAATAATTGTATATTACTTAAGTTTATATCACCTAACTTATTCGATAGCCCTGTGCCTTTAATTGGATGAAATTGAATTTTAAAAAATCCCTGAAAAAGCCATATGAAATAGGCTAAATGAGTAATATACTGATGTGACGAGTCATAGTTAACAGTTTGTAAAAAGTAATTGTAGCTAGTGACACCGCGCGTTGACATTATGGAAATGCTCAGACTGATTGTGCTACGATAGCTAGGGTGCTCGTGGCAAGACGATGCGAATTACTCGAGTTTGTAACCCAATGTAATGAAGCATCGACGTGGGTTGTAAATGAAACACTGGATTTAATGTCTGAGGTAACATTAAATTTTATTCATTTATGTGTTGTGTTGTGTGTGTGTGTGTGTTGGCCCAGGCACTTACCCCAACATGAATCTTACAGTCTTGCTTGCGATGTCTCCTCCCTGGTTTATATCTGCCATACGGCTCTTTCCCACGCATGCATTCCATGTACAGCTGGGCCGATCACGTGAGTCTGTGCTTCGCACCTGGCTCCTCTGAAGGACACTGTAGGAACATAGTATTTACCCAGTCTCCCCACTGAAACGCGATGTGACACAATATCTTGTTTAATGTGGGGGGAAAATCCGAGCACGTACACCCGGGCCAGGGACAGAGATTGCCCAGCCCCCGCAAAAGGTCGGTTGCGCTTGCATCGGATGATTACCTATGCTCATTCTCTAGTGCAGTACAGTCATGCGCAGCTCTTCCCCGAAACCGAGCACCTGTCCAGTTGCGTCTCTGTCCGCGACTGAGTCGCACTCTGCCCAAAGTTGAGATAAAACTGGGATCACTCTATCCGGCATGGGTCTCGGAAGATGTAAAGGTAAGCGTAGCTTAGATGTGACACAAGGTCGAAAGCATAGAGCACCCAGTGAGGATCGAACTCACAACTCGGTCGTAATTGAATCTCTAGCGAGACAAGTTTGCTAACCATTGTGGGGAGCTGTGGGAATTTTTTTTCCGGCCAGATATCTGCTGCGACACATAGAGTGGCAATTG